CTTAATCTTAAATCTTAAATGATATCGTACCTTCGGAACAACGACGGTTGTCATAAAGGAAGCATGATTTAGAGATTAAACGTTATTTAACGTACTACTAAGGGAAACGAAGCCACGATCAAAGCAACCGCAATCCTGTACTACGATAGTCCTTGTCATACCCTTTTCCATGCGTATTTCTCCACATAGATTCCTTGATTTGTTTGAATTATTTCAGTTACATTCCATAAAAAATAACGTGTGGTATGAACGTCACTTCAGTTCGAACCCTCTATCAAACGAAATGGAGCTGGAGTACTCTTCTTGTATTCCAGACCATTCACCGCTCCGCAGCCCCACCTCTAACAGTTATCCACCTCGCATTCTTCATCATTTGACCTTAGTAGGCGTTGATGGCCTCTTTTTACTGCCTTGGGTGCATGAATCGGCATACAAATGATTTTCGCCTCTACTTTGAAATCTAATGTAATTCAATCCTTAGTTCTTGATATTTCGGTATCTTCTCTCTCCCCTTAAAAATAACGCTGCCATCAGCCCGGCATGGGATATCAATGATTTGTGGTACCTTTTGCTTTATCTATCAACAGGGCATTCAGATATTCAGACGATGAGCCGATATTTCTATCTCAGTTCGTAATAGGAAATCACATCGCCATTACGGCTGTTCTCATCCTTCAAGATTAGGTGTGTCACTGCTTCCATCAGCAAGAACCTGGCCCTTCCTTGAGCACTCTCTGCAAGAATACTGCTATTCGTGAGTGCAAACATGTTAGCTGTTTAAGCCGAAACGCCTACACCTGATCTTGGCTTGGTACTGGAAGCTTTCCTCTTTTTAAGTGCCTCGCGCACGTTTTTTTCAGTGACTATGACATGCCTTCACATTCTTTTGTACTTCCTTTAACCATTTAGCTTCTTTACTGTGGGTTTTGTCATTATTCCATATCATTCTCCAGAAGAACTGAAGCAACTGTTCTGCCTTAGGACCAACCAACGGTCTCCGGGTTACTTTTAGGTTTGTTTTTTTGCCTCACGCTTTTTAAAGAAGGCCTTAACGTTTTTAGCAAAGAAACCGTTACCTGTTTGTATTGAGCTAGCCTGTTCTGCATGTTCGAGGATTTGCCGCGGAGTCTACAGCCTCTGTTCAACGTCCTGGCATGAAGCTATGAATGGTTGTCTCGGCCAATCTCATACTAGTTCATTATAAGCGTCGCTGATTTCCTTGCGTTGCACCTCTTCAGTTACTGTAGATGGTTTATTTCTCATGGTATTGCTTTGTTTATTCCACTGTGGTTCTTTCTTTCTCATCGGATGTTTCCAGCTTAGCGAAAATTTTCTTCATTACTGCAAAAGCTGTTGCATATATCACACTATTGATGAACTGTAAACTACTGGTTGGTATCGCCTTCAGGACATCGTAAGCTTGACTGATTTATTCACGCAGCTCTTTCTTGCCTATGACAGAGGATCTTCAACCTGGTCAAAATCCTTAAGAATCTCTGACAGAAAGATTTTTCTTTATCATTCAGCTGGATAACCTCTGTCACATCAGCCATTTCGATCTCTGGTAGCAGGATTTCCGGAATGAACCAAATAATATACTGAGCTGGGTAATTATACTACGCAGTTATGCAACAATCAAGCGCTCCTCTGACCTCATCATCTCCAGCTCCGTTAGCAGTATGTCCTTCTCAATGAGACATTCGTAATTCATTAGAAGTTGTTCGCCTGAATCACTGAAAATGTAGACCTTCCGCCATTCTTTCAGCATTCTTTTTTGATAACCCTGGCCCTGCTTCACAGCGATGTAACAGCACCTCATTACAACGGCGTTTTATTTCTTCCATCACTGCTTCCGCGCCGGTCACAATTCTGCCACGGCCAAAATGCATAAAGACGTGAAACAGGTTTTTTAGCTCACTTATCGCAGAATAGCTGTCACCAACCGCCTGCGTTGCTCTTGCCCACTCAGGAACAGTCCGGGAGATTTTCACTGAGGTACATCCTAATGGGTATATAAACGAACGACTGCACTTAGTCTAACCTCCCTCTCCTTAACCTTGTCTCGAGCGTGGATTGCATTTGCTTGCTTCTAGACAATGGAGCCTACTCTTGCTCAGAACTGCTGGGTCATTCACCGGATGAAGTTTACGGAAGAACCAGCAGCAATAATATGAATTAACTTCTTTGTCATTATGATCCAAAATCAGTCTTGAAACTAAGACCAAATTTAGCTAAAAAGGAGCAGTGAGACACTTACAAAATTGCTTTTCTGCTTCGTGCTACTTGATTTTGCTGTTCCACTAGCCTTGAATGGAAGTACTTTTTCGTCATTAATAATCTCGTCGATTTTTCAGAAGGGAAGTCGGAAAAGTAAATTTCATCAGGATTTTATACACTCAAACGCACGATAATCCATGAATAGTGAAGTGACAAGTCCACTTAACTTTCTCCTAGGCCAATTAGTATAACATTCCATTAATTTAGCAGACGAATGTGATATTTGTGCATTTATCGAAATTTTTGGCAATGTAAAAACGTACAGATCTTTGGAATTTTTAGACTCGAGATAATAGAGTGGAAATAACTTTTCAATCTGATTACCCGGTTTCGAAGTTCTGCAAACCATCATCGTGGACTCCACTTTTAAGTTGGTAATTTGATAATAACTTTCCACAAGAAATTGTAAAAACTTTCTTTTCTTTAAAATGATGTCCACTGGATCTCGAGGGAGTTCGCCGTGAAGGGCCATCTAATAAAAAACCGTTTTATTGAGCCTGACTCAGATTTACAGCATGCAAACGGGTACCTGGGCTGCTGCAGTGATATTCAGAAAACGGAAATTTTCCATTGTGGAATCACCAAAATTTTCCTTCAAATTTTTTTGGTCCTCACCCAATTCCTGAAAAATTCAAAAGCTGAGCAAGAGGGTCATTGAAACCAACGTATACATACTTTTACGCTTAAGATCTTCTCACATTCTATGGATGAAAGGAAGTTCTTCACTCCAAACACTTCGTTGGAATCGTCATTAAGCACCGTCACGTTCAACCCATGCTGCCTCACCAGATCTTCGAATGATGATGTTTGACCATAGTTTTTCTAAAAGCAAATGAGTATTTTAGGATCCGCCTCAATCGGCCAAAGTTCAAATCTGCGACACTTCATCGTTCTGCCTATGCACAAGCTGCACAAATTTATGGCATCACAATATCACACAGAACGTACACCGAATACTGATTATCCCCTATGATACGGTTGAGCTTAAGGTCTCTAAAA